CTGGTGTCTCCCTTAGGGATAAGGTGAGAAGTTCGGTCATCCGGGAGGGACTCGGAGTTGAACTGCTCCTCCTTCGCGTCGAAAGGAGCCAGTTGAGGTTGTTCGGGCACCTAGTTAGGATGCCACCTGGGCGCCTCCCTAGGGAGGTGTTCCAGGCACGTCCAGCTGGGAAGAGACCAAGGGGTAGACCTAGGACCAGGTGGAGGGATTATATCTCTTCGCTGGCCTGGGAGCGCCTTGGGATCCCCCAGTCAGAGCTGGTTGATGTGGCCAGGGAAAAGAAAGTTTGGGGCTCTCTGCTGGAACTGCTACCTCCGCGACCCGACCACGGATAAGCGGGAGAAGATGGAATGGAGTGAATTTCGATGCAGTCATCTGTTAGCATTTTTCGCTCGTTGCTAATTCAGAGGCTCAGCGTTAGCATTGTGTTTTTTTTTTAAAAACATTTTTTAAATGATCAGTTAGATGAGTTTCTTCCCGTTGCATGGATATAAACATTCATAGTTTATTAAATGAACATGCCCTCAGACACTGTTTCCTGCAAGATGTTGCGGCAGTACCTCGGTACCGGGATCTCTCGGGCTTAACAGGTTGTCCTAAAAAGGAACGTAATAGTGCATATTGCATATTAATACCCATAGATCAGATTTGAATAGAGAGATGCAGAGGATCACTGACTACCCACAGAGTGAAAGATCATTTTATGAAATAACATAGCTTTTACTGAAATGACACATATAGTGTGTAGATCACTGCTGATGGCTGTTAAATTATTCTGAAGTATTTTCTGAGTGTGTGAGTCAGTGAGCAGGATGATGTATTACCTATTTGTGCAGCATGGGGCCGGCGGAAGGGATTGCGGACCCTCATCACATCCTTGATGCGCTCCACCTCCTGCTGGTAGCGGTGGCGGTCCTTCATGGCTCCTTCCTTCGCCTCCTTCAGCGCGACCTCCAGAGCCTTGACTCGCTCTGCTGTAGACCGAAGACGTTTCTCCAGTTTTGGAAGCTCACAGCGAAGATCTGCATTGTCACGCACCAGCTGTCACACAAAAGAAGACATAAACCCGGGGATTAACTATCTTCCTATTTCCCATTTCCATTCCATAGGAAAATGATCCTCCAGTTTTTCACTGTTAGAGATCCAACCTTTTGTCCCCAAGAAGAGCACATTGAAATCAATAGTTAAAGCATACAACAACGGATGTAGCAAAGTGATCTCACAAATCTCTTTACCTGGAACATTTATATTAGTTAGACCCAAATAAGTTCAGCGGAGTAAAAGTGCCTTAAGGAAAAATTGTCTAAGAATATACAGTGTTCCGTGTCTCAACCGTTCATCCAATTGTTCCATTTAATCTTGCAAGCAAAAAAAGAGAATAATATGTGGTAATGAGTTTTGTTCAAAGCGAAGAACCCAAAACCAAAGGATCAACTTTTAAATCTGTATTTCTGTAACGTTGTGTTGTCAAGGTTGTCCAAAAAAGTTAACCATTTTAAAAAGAAGTTAAATATCAAGAGAAAAAACACCAAGTGTCAGCCATGACAGAGTCTGTGGGAGAAAAGCATAAAACTGACGGAATGTTTCATCCCCACCAATATGTTTTTACACATTTGTTACAAACGTTTAGAGACACAATCCTGTGGTGCACTGTGGAAAGAATAATACTCTTTGTATCCAAGTAATCTAACAGGCAAAGGATCCTAGATTCAGGTTTGGCAGAGCTATGTTATTGTTTGGTTGAGAGTCATTTTGAAGAGAAATGGGAAATAGAGGCACGACTCCTATTTTCCAATTGATGTAATAAGAGAAATCATGAGTGTTTCCAGATGGAAATACAGTCAGTCAGTACTGTGTCTGTACAAGGGCAGGACAAATCAGACAGAGCAGAGCCGCTGTCCACTGCCTGTCTTTAGGAGTCTTATCACTCTCCTCTGGGAGCTTGTTGATTGATCACCATGACTTTCATCTCCTTTCCTACAGTATCAGCAGGGGGTAGATGGGATGGAGTCTCCCAGCAGCCACTTTAGGATTGGTTTTCTGACACTGCTGCAGTGCAGCTCTCACCAATCTGCCAGCACGATTTTATGTGCCAGTCTGCAGAGCGTTTAGCACATCAACACTGGCTCTACTGCAGCCAGTGCAGTCCATTTAGGAATATTAAAGTTGGATGTGTGAAATGTGTGTGTCTGTGAGTGTTTGTGTCTCATCTTTTTGAGCGAAAGGTTGACTGTGAGAGATGGTTTGCGTCAGATTCAGAGAGGATAAAAGGCGTGTTTTATGTGCACCTGCATGATGAATTATTTTGTATTTATCAATTCTGAGCGACTGAGCACCGGGCGTCCTCTCCCTGAAAGCAGCGTGGTTTAACACCTGCTTCTGCTCTGTTTTCAAGGAGACTTATATTTGAAGTTGCAATAGTAAAATGATTGATGGTGCCTGCTTTGCTCTTGTCAACAATGACAAACAGTGCACACTGTTCTGTATTTTAATTTGGCTCGGCTCATATTTATTCTATCCTGGTAAGGCGTTTCAGCTCGACACTGCTGCGCCATGGCACGGTGATAATCACATTTACAGGCAGAGCGAAACACTATTATTTGTCCTAGTTTCAATCGAAATGTTGGATGGATAAAACATTTTCTGTTTTCTCACTATCATTTATATTTTGATATGGGCTGTTACCTGTTTGTGAACTTTTGTAAGCTGGTCGAGGTTGTTTTCAAGAAAGGAAATCTTCTGTTTCTGACTGATATATCCCCCTCTCTCATCAAGCTCCAACTGTGCACTCTGTGGACAGAAAAAATAAAGAACTTTCAACCTCTGAAATACTGCAGTTCAAAAACTTTGGAGGATTCAAGATTCAAGAAGTTGTTTCCGTCTTACTTTTCTAACTCGGGTTGTGAGGTCTTGAACAAAAAGCTTGCGGAGGTTGTGCAGGGTGTAGAGCTCACGAGCCTTCAGAATAAAGTGAGAGAGGAAATAGTGCAGTTAGAGCAGTTAGGGAGTATTTAGTGGATCATTGACCCGTGAGGAAGCCAAGTGAATCGTGACAGCAAATAATGACTTACAACCGTGTCTTCCAGCCCTTTGAGGTCCCGCTTGGACTGCTCATGTCGCTCATGGAGAAATCTATATATTGACAGAAAGATAGATAATCAAAAAAACTTCTCCTTACAGCACATTTTTGCCAGATTAAATCATGAATAAAGATCACATCTAACTCTGGCTCCAATCTGCCATCTGATGCAATACGCTGCAAAGGGCAATGCAGACTGAAACAGACCTATTTGCAGCCAGCTGTTACCTTTTCAAAAACTGAAAGGGGTTTAAAGGGTTCATTTTAGTTACAAACTGTACGACTTTATTCCTCCACAGGGAGATAAACGTATCCTGTAGATAGGATGACAGAGCTGCAGAGAGAGAGGAAAAGAAATAGACAAAGCGAAGACGGATGACAGAGAGGAATGGAAGATGTGAATCAAAAGAGGCAGCTCGCCGTTGGGCCTCCATATGGTGGAGCGTTTGAATGCTGGCCAGGACAGAACAGCAGAGACTCACGTCAGTTCCTCCAGCTGCCGGCTCTTGTGATGTTCTTGACTCCTGAGATGTTGAAAGTCGTAATGCAGTTGCTCCAACTCCAGCTCCTGCTTCTGGTTACAACTGAAAAAGTACAAAATGTAAAAATATTTCAATAAAGCAGACGTACACATAATTCCTCTCTCCTAAAAGGAAATCCAATATTGGGGAAATGTAAAGTAAAATATGTAATACAAGGGGTTCAATCTGGAAATGGAGGTCATCATCACCAAAAAAACATATTAGTCAAACTTCATGAACTCTCATGTGCCTTAAAAATGTTTGCTATTTAATTAAGTTCTTAGAATTTAACCACTATGCATTTTCCAATAAATATTACAGGACAACGAGAGAGGTTGATTAGCTGTTTGTAAACTGGTATAAAATGCCATTTAAGAGAATCATTGTTGACAATTGCTTGTATTGTGATGAGTTTTGTTTTGGCCTCAGCTTGACACCGACAAATGCGAAAAATAAATTGTCTTCCCTGTCTCTGGGGGGTAACGCTTCAGCTCAGTGGCATGCACAGACTTTCAAAGCGGCATGATGACAAATGATGAGAAGGCTCAATATTTCTTTGCAGGGTAAGGATTTGTGTCCTCATAGTCACATCCAAGTTGTTAGTGTCACATTAGGGTACAGATACATCCTGTTTTTAAATAGCGCACTGCGTTTCCCCATCAATTTATTTTATCATGCTCCACTTTACTGACACTTAAATCTTGGGCAAATATTTATTATGCCTTTCTGCTCTGCTGCAAGGATCAAAATGACCACACTACTGCTTCCAGATCATTTCCGTTCTTCTTACATCCCTTCATACAGCCATTTTCAAGCTGCTTGTCCAATTCAAGCCATGTCAGCAGGACAAGCAGAGCAACCCCACATGTATTTTCATTCTGAAATCCTCTGCAGCTGCTCCATGGCTCAGTACTCCTCGACCATTTGGGAAATGTACTTTAGTTTCTCAAGGCTCTGCCCTGCAGTCTACTCCCAGACGTTCATGCTTGTTACAGAAATCTTCAAAACAAGGCACCTGAAGGGGCATGTTTTCAAGGACCCCAAACAAGGCCTGGGGTTTTTCAATGATCTGTGGTAATCAGCAGCAGCTTCTAAAGTCCTCCCACACTGCAGTTTCCTCCGCATGTCAACCCCCACACATATTGACTTCAGACCCTCTTACAGCTACCGCAAGACTTTTTGAGAACTCATGGACTGAGACATTGTATGCCCAATTTTAGCATTTTCACACTGCATATGACGGAAGAATAGGAATAAAGATGTAAGCCTGCGGAGTGGATAAGCTTTCTGCTTTGGAGCCATGTAAAATCTGCTTTGTAATGCAACACAGTCCAGTGTCAAAGAAAGTAGTTATTATGCCTTTTCCTTGATAACCTATCATTTTGTATACTCAAATTATATCAGATAACATTTCAATCATGGGAAGTACTAAATAAGACACTGTGATTTAGGTTTTCAGCGAGTTTAAAGTGTATTGATCACAAAGTGCCTTTTATTACCCCAGATGAAATTGCCCAACAGATTACCTAAGTCATTCCTACATTAGTCACTCATAAGGAAGCTTAATACCGGTGTCTATGTACTGTAAAGCAATGCTGACTAAAAGTTACATTTAGGACAAAATGAATGAGTTTATTTTCATGCAACTGGCCCCTGCTTTAAAACACCCCTGAACTCCTATTGTCGTACTCCTGTACAAGCTAAGTATCTGTAGCCTTATTCAGTTTCTGGGAAAAGGTGAAGAATAATAATGAAGCACTGACTCAGTTAAGTCGTCGATGATCTTCTGGTTCTCATTGATCTCATCTCGCAGGCGACCGAGCTGTTTGCTGTGCGACTCACGATGTGACTCCATCTGCTGCTCCAGAGCCCTCTGAGGTATGGGCAACAAGAAGAGGGGAGACACACATACATAATGAGAGAGAGAGAGAGAGAGAGAGAGAGAGAGAGTGTACCCGGAGGTGGGAACAAAACTTAATCACAAAATAACAAGAGAGAAAAGCATTTAAGCCTCCAGTGGACATTGTGAGCCACATGGGCATTCAGAGTAAAATCCACTGGATCGTGCAAAACCTCCTCTGTATAAGGGCTTTGACTTGTACTAAAAATAGTTTACTAACACCTTATTACTTTAGATTCAATAGTGATGACATGGAGCATTTTCCTAAATAACCTATGTTTTATAAAATAACCACAAACTGACTGACATAAAACCAAAGGCCTGGTAGTGTTGCAGTATACTGATGCGGCTGGCTTGAGTGTGCTGTTTGCTCTGGCAGATTGGGGGTAACAGAGGCACAGGAGCAAATGTTGGACCAAAGGATCCCCAAACAGTTAAACCAAGGCATTTTAGTGCTTACAGATTTGTTGAATAATAATCACTCAATAACAGATCGATACCTTTTTATCATATAATACTGTACAAAACATTTGAGTTTTCCAGAATCATCAATCTGAGGATTTTATGCTTGTTTATATTTTGTGTCATTGTACATTCAATGCTGTATCTTTGGAGTTTGGGCATTTACTTAAGATGAGCTATTTAAAGAATGAGGAATAGCTAAACAATTTGTACAGTATAGGAATATGCTTTCCTCTAAGTCTTAGATAGCAATATTGATACCTCTCTGTATGATAATAATATGTAGCAGCCAGTTGATTTAACCATTACTAGACTGAACACGAGGGGAAAGGGTTATCATAGTTTTGTCCAAAAAAAAATCTTCCTACAGCACATGAAGTTCACTAAGACATTTGTTTCACATAATGAACATTTTTCCAGTTTAACATGTCAAATTATTTCTTAAAAAAGACAATTGATGAATCCATCCAACATTTAAATAACTATTGCAGCCCTACTTTATATGCAAAAAAACTTGCACTCCCATTATGATGTACTGACACCGTGCTCTGAAACATTAATGTACACTCAAAGACGCAGAGACACCCACAGCTCACTAACACCCCCCCACACACACACACACACACACACACACACACACACACACACACACACACACACACACACACAGCAGAGTGCTGAGGCAGTTTGAGGAAAAGGTCATTACATTAAATTGCTCTCACTGTAGTCATGGTTACCTTTATATCACAGGGATCCTGGACAGAAGAGTGATTCTCGCCGCTGGTGACCAGTGCCATGCTCTCTAAAAACAAGCATGCACACACACAACGGTAAGATCAAACAAGTCAGAGGGAGGACGAGAAGAGCGAAGCAGGGAGATAAAACACATTGATTGAGATGACAGAGGTGACAGTGACATGACTTTGACAGCATAACAGCACCACGCTTCATTTCACAGAGAGGTCAGCGTGACCCTACTTGTGCCTCGGGTGTGATAATACCTGTTAATGAGAACGACAGCTACTGTATCATGCTGATCTAATCTGTCAACAACTCATTGCTCTTCCTAAAATGTCCCGTCGTCTGATGATGAAATTACAGAGCTCTCTACTTTGCTGGTTTCAACCCAACCTGCAGCACTTTGTATTTATTTACTTCTGTAATGACTCAAGGAGTGCCTGGCTTAAGTACGGACACAATTGATTTACCTGGACTTAATCCACAGGTTTTTTACAGGATATTTAGGACTTACATTGCCTTTGGCCTGATTTGTGAATTGTGTCAGTGTACCGAGAGTATCTGCAGTTAGATGGCCGACGCTCAAATGTACCATTAATCTGTTGATGTTGGGTAGTGATATGTTTGGAAGCTTAAATCTGTCAGTGTTTACCCAATTTTTCTCGACAGTACAGAAAGGCCTCTGGCAGAGACTAACTCTCATTGAAGCCACGCAGTGCCCGCTCTGTAGAGCCAGTGATCCAAAAACCTTCACTCCCTGCACTCCAGTTCTTTGGGTCCTGAGCAATTTACCCACAGAGAGTGTAGTCCATCGGATGACAGACCTACATATAGACAGGGATTCCTTCAATTTGTTTTACGCTGCATCCTCTCCCAGTTCCAGTCCGGTGAAGCGGAAATACATCAACACATTGTTGCCTTTTGTTTACTTCCTCAAGAAAGGATTGTGTTTCGCTCTGTCAGAATATTAAACTTATATTTAATATCTGCCTTTGGCCAAAGTCATACATTTAACTGGATATTTACAGAGTGGTTTAACCTGCATGCTGTCCTTCACTCTGTATTTAGCAAGTATGTCCCACAGAAGATTATTATCCATCACTTCAATCGCTTTGGCACACTGTCTCTGTAAAAATGTGTGCTTTTACAGTATAGGATAAATATTCTACTTTAACCTGCAGTATTCTTTGATTTATTGAATACATTATTTGTTTTGATGACTGTCGATTAGTTTTGCTCCTGGAGCAATTGTATAATTTATCAGCCATAAATCTGTTGCATAGCTTTTCTCACCGTATTGTTGTTTCCTGCTTCACCTTTGAGTCTGAATAAATGGGAGATACTCTGTTCCTGGTTTGTTATTTTGATCACGTAGAGAAAATATCTCAACCTGAGCCTGGGGCAAAGACATTTTTATCACACAAACAGAAGCAAGACATTTTACATGTGCTGCGCTGACTCTGTTTATTCAATATTGATCCTTGGGGTTTAGCGAGATAGATAGATTTCACCTCAAAACAGATTCACCTACTGTTGCAAACGTCTAACATGACTGTATTTTCCCATTTCTAAATACTTTTGAGGAGTTAATTGAGATTAGACATGAATGCCACTGTGGTCGTTTTGTCTGCAACAATATAGGACGGATTGCCATGACATTTTGTACAGACATGCAGTTTGGTGTGCAGAGGATTAAACCCAATGACCTGCTTGCCTTGATGTAATGATGATGATGACATTACACAGTATACCTTCTTAAGATCAGCGTCATTGGATTTGGCTCAAAGCAGTGATGTGCTAAAGAAAAGTCTGGATTGTCTTTACTATTACCGTAGTCTTGTTTGTTGACTGGAACGATACTGTGGTTATTTAATTATGATGGATTTTTTTTACTATCATGATTACATTAGTCTACCTTGAGCTTGGAGTTTGGCCAGCTCTTCACTCAGAGAGTCATAGCTGTCTTCCAACTTCCTCTTCTTCAGCTCCACATTTTGCATGTAGTCCATCAGAGAGCGGATCTTTGCCTCGTGCTGAAAACCAGAACACAGCGCCTCAGATGCAGGAAGTATACTAATGAGCACAGGACCTCGACACAGGATTTTACTCGCTGTCAAATGGATAGGATTTACATTGAATATTTATGAACCCGTCATTAGGGATATAAATTCAAATACCAACGATAGTGGAACTCACAACATGAAGGGTTTCAAGCAATCAACAAAGAATGCACAACAACGTTTTGACAATAAAATCTGCTGATGTGTTGATGCCACAAACAGTTGAGTGACATTTTGAGCGCACTGCTCCTACTCAAAAATAAGTATCGTAAAAAAAGGCCAAAGTCTTTCTGATTCAAAATGTCAATCACTCATTGGTGATGATAAATAATATGTTGCACTCTTGGTTTAATTGCAGATTGTCCTCATTTACCCCACATCAACACCAACATTTCCTGCTGGATTTACAAACTTTTTCCTACCCTGGATGTTTGAAGCTAGTTTCTCAGTCAGTCACTCACCTGTGAAATGAGGAGCTGACAGGAGGACAGCTCTCTGCCCGTTTCCTCCATCTTGCGGTGACACTCCATCTGGTGGCTCTCCAGATGACGGCAGCGTTTCAGCATGGACTTCACCTCAGACTTGATCTTACTGATGTAGAGGCGGGCTACTGTGAACTCCTCTTCGATTGAACCGGTGATCTCCACGGGCTGAAGAAAAATTAGGTAGAGAGGAGGAGATATCGTTAAAAGAGTAGTGAAAATGTTAGCTTAAGATTTAGTGGGGACTGTTTAAAGACAGCTGGGAGGTTTGAGAGAGAGAGGCATCTTAGGGACGCTTTCTGACATTTTGTAGGCACATCCGTTATGTTAAAAGCATCATTTAGCAGATGCTCCGAAATAAACTGTAAAGGACAGACTACTCCCACATATCAAAACAAATGTAAATATTATAGCTAAGATACATCAGTGGGTAGGCCTATTACATACCCCAGGTGTTATATTGAAAAAAAAAATATTCAAGGATATACTTGACTATAATGTTTAATGCGTTGCCCTTCAGCGGGGTTTCTAACAGTAAGAAATAAGACATGATTCCTAAAATTCCACGGATTTTGCAAATGTCAGGTTCATTTAAAGAGAAAGAGAAAGAAAATCATGAATAAGCCATTATGAATTTTCCACTTTAACTTTGGTTTTAATATTTCACCCTTTCAAAAATTAGATTGAAAGGGTTTCCCTCAATTTGAAACCGTTTGACTTTCTGCCTTTTATGTCGGCAGGTTTTTATCACACAGAAAAAGAGGAAAGGAAAAACGAATTATCAACAAGGCAGGCTTGGGAGACCAGCAAATGTTGCATAAGAAGCCTCATGATAATAATGTTGTCTCTCCATTGTCTTTGCTTCTCGGAGTCAAGATGGTGTTCTATGTCAGCAATCCAGTGTGGAGAGTTTCCTGCCTTTAAAAACAGTTAAGGGCATCTTCCCATGTGACCCGGTTGATGTTGAAGGACTTGAAGACTTGCTCGCAGACATCTTTATAATGTAACTGTGGGCGGCCAGATGACAGCTCTGTGTACAGAATGTCTCTGGGGATTCGTCTGTTGTCCATCCTTTGGACAGGGTCCAGACAGCAGAGAGGTTGCTGCCTCTGGAGGGAGTCCTCACTGGAAAGCTGTGCTCTCTCCAGGACTGCTGTGTGTAATCCTGTCCATCCAGGTGATGCCCAGTTTGCACCTCAGGCAACACATATGGGAGCTATTTATCCTCGGCTCTTGATGTAAGAATGGGGTCTAAGCTTAACGACCGTACAGGGATGAGCTAAATCACAGCGTCTGTGCACATGTTCCTCAGTCTAACTATGAGCTTCCTAAAGCAGAGTCTGCTTTCCTGATACAGCTGCTGAGTTCAGTATTGAGTGACATGTTATTGGCGGTGGTGGTGAGTGACAGTGCTTACAGCTTGGACCATCCATCACCATCCACAGCTCAATACAATATGTGTGTGTTGATGTTGATGAAGACAGAGGAAGTCTTGGTGCCCTGTCCCATCATCCTGGTTTTGCTTAAGCTGATGTTCTGCGTCATTGGTTTTAGCTTTCACTTGAGCAAGATTGGACAGATAACCGTCTGTCCTTGAAGGTAGGTAGTCTCCTTAAGTTGATATTCCAAAGGCTTGCCGCTTGAGAAAACTAAGTAATATCGAAAGGTAGCCAACACACATCCCTGCATGACACAAACCATTTTATTTTGATGGTGTCTGATGTCGGGTTTGAAGGATGCAGAGGAGCAACCTATCTGTTCAACCAAAAGGTTGCTTCCGCTCACGAGGTCATAAACTTTGTATAAAAAAATACTTCATTGATTTGGATCTAAGTAGGAAGCTTTATGGAGCCAAACCTTGTTTTATATGTCATCTGCACCATGAAAAAGATCAATGTAACTACCTTTTATAGAGCCTAAATCAATAAGAAAGGCCAGTTTAATATGATTTTAAACGTATGTATGGGAATTCCATGTATCTGTGTACTTTAGTCTCAAGTAATGCTAATTGCACTGATTCTTCCCAGATAGTTAAATGTTTCTTATGACTAAGGGGAAAGACTTGTGCTTTTTATTCAAAGTTTCAAGCACTATCTGTTCATTTGAACTGGTATATTACTCTGAGCTTGCATTGTGCGTCCCACTCACCAGCTTGATGTCCCTGTTCCCAACGATGGTGCTGAACTCACTCAGGTCCCTCATCAGGCTGTTGAGAATCTCAGTGATGCGTTTCCTTTGATGGCTGCTCACTTCCTGGATGCGAGACAGCTCTGCTTCTACAGCCTTGAGTTGAGCCTGTGGGAGGAGAGGAGCGAAATGTGGGATCAAACACAGAGGAAGAAGAGAGAGGGGAGGAGTTCGATAGAGGGAGAAAAAAAAATGACGACAGTGAGAAGAGGAGAGATGGGACTAACGGGATTAAATTGTGTAAAAGAAGATTGAAATAGAGGAGGATTGAGAGTCCTTTAATCCGCGAACACACACAGCTGTGAGACTCGCTTTAACCCCTGACCTCATTCCCATCCAAGAAATCAAAATAGCTAAAACGTCATGGCCGGCATATTAGAAATCAATGAACAGAGGATGAGGATGAAAGGATCTGGGGGGATGATAATGCTTTCTTTAATACTTCTCCATTTCGTACAGCAGGCTTCTAAACGATACTGTAACTTCAAATGCTCGAACACAATGAAACCATGAGGCTCAATCCAAGTACCGGTAAAACAGAAGAAGGGAGTTGCAGTTTCTATACTAGGGACGCAAATGATTTGATCTTGAAAATCTGTGTCACAACTTTTTCTACATAATAAACATCGGTAAAACATTTAATGAGATATTGTTGTTTTTTAAATTACCTTAACCCCATAAGTAATCCTTTACTTGCCATACAATTTTTAAGTATTATACTTACACATGTTATCAATTCACCTACCTGTTTTAACTCTATATAAAGCCATGTATAATAGGTTTTTGTTTTTATATAACATTAATTAATATAGATGGCTTAACCATAATGACTGTCTCACACACCATACTACTGCTATGTTATTTTACATTTTGAATATAATCCGGGGGTATTGGGCCGAAAAATAGCCAGAAATGCAGAGCAAAATCCATCTACAGAACTCACCATACATTATTAGTGTGTAATTGAATAATGTAAAACTCCTCAAGTTGTCTAAACCAATTTTCCAAAACCATGTCATCTTTTCTGGCACGAGTCTGTTTCCATAGAGGTGGTGTAAAATGCATTGAAGGTGTTTCTTTCATTCTAAGTGGATTAACTATTGTCACAGATGACAGGCTTTTAATGCTGCATTTCAGCTCATGGTTGAGTCGCTTTAAAGCACAACTAACCACATTCACAAATACAGTAACATTTATCAACCTCTTCATCTTCATCCCCTTCATTAACTTTAAGCCCTGTCATCATTTTCCAGGTCATTTCCCATGTCAAAACATTGACTTAGCATAGAAGGATGTAAATAATTTACTGAAATAGATCAATTTCTGAGAAAGTAAAAAAAAGGGTGGTTAATGAAGAAGGCTCAGTGTAGTTGAAGAAAGATTTATGGAGAGATATGAAAGGGAAGAGATGTTTTTCTTTAAATGATGAATGGACTGAATCGTAAGGATATCAAATGCTTAAGTGGAAGAATGGATGGATAAGGTGCTTAAAGGAGCAGATGAATGGAAAGACAGTGAGCGATGGTCTTTAGCAGAACAAGAGAGGAGCCTTCACTGGAATCAATGTTGAAGACAGCTAAGGAGGTGGTGGATTAAAGAAAGTGATGAATGTAATCCATTGCACCATTTTTCTAGGTCAACGCCAAAAAATGTATGAAGCAGTAACACTGCACATTAGCATAACATCTGGGATGCAGAAAGTGGAGAATGTGTAATAAAGAGTCATGGGGGATGGAGCTGGAAAAGGCCCTGAGAGGCTGGTATAATGGGATTCTTTTTTTTAAATCACTGTATGATTTCCTGTATTCAGTTTCACATCTCGTCAGCCTGCTAAGGCGGCGTCCCTGAGTGGAAGCTATGTCCAGTGAGAGGTTAGGACAGAACAGGAGGAAATGTCCACAGAGGAGGCATTAGTGAGATGATTGAGGAAGGAATAGAGGTTTCAGCTGGCTTCAGCAGGATACACTGTGCAGTGGGTCGCTACATTGTCACCTCCTTCCATCTGTTCCTGGAGCCCCTTCGGAGAGACAGAGAGGGAGGAGAGGACGCCGGAGCAGATTGTAAAACGGTGCATGAAATATTGAAGAGGTTTTAAGAAGGTGAATAATGGTCCACTCAGCCAGTCACAATAACTTCATTAAGGACTGAGCTTTGCCAATGGTCTTTCTATTACCTTTATTTCCAAAGTAAATTCCAGTGCACTAAGACCCAGTCGCACACAAATGTTGCTCATTCTTTTCAAAGGCTGACAATAAATATGTCTGGTGCAATACATAGACCTTAAAATGATTATTTTAATAGAAGCAGAATGTCATTGATAACTACATTTCACAGGCTTCTGCAAATAAACTATGCCAGATGTAATTAATAGTAACTCTGTCAACACTGAATGCTGTCCTCATGTGCACAGCTATTCAGTCAAAGATAAAAGGTTTCTGAAGAGAGTTTATGAAATAACTTTGACCGTGATTAAGAAAAGTCAGACTTTCGCTCTTGGTAGCTATACAGTTGTTAATAGTTGATACGTGATCACATTAACAACTAGCCACATTTTCAAGAATGAATTAGTTCATAGCTGTAGCTGCATATAGTATGAGGGTGAAGTCAGGCTGGAGCTGAAGAAACATCACTGCTGTCGTTTGAACAATACTTGAGGCTTTCCTTCAAGTTGTTGATTATTAGTTTTTCATACATGTATCTATTCATGACCGCTGGCTTGACAGTTTATAAGAATCTCCTCTCTTATCTTTCCTTTTACAAAACTCTCTAATGTAATTCAGTATCTCTCTAATTGCATTTTGCACCAGTTGCTCTTCATATTCTTGAAAGACAGGGTTTAAAATGGAATAGATTATTTTATACCTAAAAACTAATTTTTCCCTTCTTCCTAATGGGCTCTCCTCCTATACTGTAAATACACTTTAACACAGTGTGCCGTTTGTTCCAGCCTTAATCAGTTAATCCTTCACTTTTCATCTTTTTTCTTCATCATTCCTCCTCTGTTAGACCATTTTTAGATGTAATGTTCCTTCTCCTATGGCGCATTAAACTGAGCCTCCAAGAAGAAAACACCCACCACTTTCTTGGCCAGCTCTTCAGCCAGCAGCTTCTTCTGCACACTCCTCTCCTCGACCTCCAGGCTCCTCTGGTCGTAGTTCACTGCCAGCTCCTCCAGAGCTTGGAGGACTTCTTTCACCTCGGCCTTGGCGGATTGATTCTCCGTCTGCAGCCTGCCGAGGTCTGACTGCACCTTCTCGCTGTCACCCCTGGAGGATGCCAGAAGCTGTGCAACACAGAGATACAACAACTTAATAGAAACTGATTTAAAAAAGTGACAGAGAAATTAAATTGTATAGGTAAAGGTAACGCATCTTCTTAAGTCACATGGCAGAGCTGCTGGGTTTTAATTAAAAAAAAGTATATCTTGTTAATAACAGATAAGCCTGACAACAAACCCTGCTTCTTAATATAAGTGTGAATTAAAAATTAAAACACTTTTTTTAAATCTAAAAACGTTCACATGATGCTGTAAGAAAGGACATTATTTGGCCACCTTGGTGTTTCCCTCTATGTGTACTGCTGCAGCCCATTGTGGGCAATTTGACCGAATGGATATCATTAAATGTAGATGTGTCTCTTCCCCAGGTGCCTGCATAATCACACTGCAGTATACAGCTTCTGTTTTGCAAAATTAATGTGAAATGATGTTACTGTACACAAGGCTAAGGTAGTTACCATGAAGTCAGATCAGCCCACAGCGGGGCCCATTTTCGGATATAAATTAAGTAATTTTGCAAATGTGAAGTATTTTACTTGGAAGTGTACTACATCCCAAAGCTTGCTTCATGCTGTTTAGCCCACTGTGTAGCCACCTTTGTTAATACATGCTGTAAATACTGTTTAAGATTACATTTGAATGGAGTCTTTTAATCGCTGTTCTTCAGACGAGAAGCATATCGCCTACAGGCGGGCAAACCTGTTTACATTGTTGAATGTTCTAAGGTTTCTAAATGTAATGTCAATGAGACATGCTGATCCATAGTTTTTTAAAACCGCATATGAGATAATTGTAGAGCTTTTGTTTTCTGCGTATTAGCTACAATGTGAGCCATGCTGAGTAAAATGGGAAACAATGGTCTTCATTTCTCATTTCCACATCAGGTCACACGCCTACTCTATCTTTGTATTGATCCTTTACTACAATCATTTCCATCTGTACAACCACACGCAAAAACACTTACGATTAAACAATAACCTTTTAGGTCCTTCAAGTTCTTTCTGGCATCTGAAAGGCTTTTTTTTCAATTTTCTCAATTCATTTCAAGGTCAATTTAATAAAGCCCTCACGGCTGAGTTCTAGTCAAAGTGTGCTATTGATTGCCACAATGCAGCTTACCTTGAGATGTTTAACCAAACTAATGAATAGATGTACTGTAAAAATATAGTATTTTACCTCCTCCTGGTCGAGCATCTGCTCCTTCAGTTTCTCCACCATCTGGCTCTGGTGATTGATCTCATCATCCTTGAGATGCAAAAAGGCAAAGGAAGTATAAACATTTGATTTAGAGAGTTATGTATTACACACACACTGGTACAGTACAGATTCTCTGGATACTACCATATTGTGTACTTTTGGGTGCCATGTCAATCATAACTATACATTCTGAGCTTGTATTCAACTCCATAAATGTATAGGAACACATCTAATTAAAACCATTAACAAAATAGCAGTAGATTAATAAGGATGTGATCAAAAAGCTGTGTACCGTAGGGGGAAAGAATGCTCTCTCAATGTTAACTCAACTACCGTCAACCAGAAACAACACATGTAATATGACAACTATCATCCTGTGTATACACTTACAATGTAACATAGAATAGCCTGCATCAGGTGTACAGTTAATGTATAATATTAGTAGATAAACAAATATGCATCCTGTAAGGGAATATTTCTGTCTTACTCCTAAGTGTCAAAGAATAATTCTTCCTTACTCCTAAGATATTTAACCTTATTCTGTGTGTTGACATTTACGACCATCCCTGCTTCTAATCTCCCATAAGGAATGTGTTAATGCAGTCGTATGTTGATACCAGGTGTTATGGCCTGACCTGGTGGGCACAGGGGGGGTTTTACGACTGTGAGAACGCTGGTTTTCTAAGCTCCACAGATGTGAGAGACATCTCCTGTGTCTACAGATGTTTACGCCGATCCCCAATATGCGGATTTGACTTTCTATAAACTAGTTAAAAGGTCTATCGAGAGATAGGCTGGGCAGAATTGACATGGCAACCCACCAGTGCAGTCAGAACCTTTTGCTGCTGTGACTTGTGATATGAATTCTCCGGCCGTTGACTTGTAATAAACATCATTGTTTGACATCAAATCTCCAACTCTCCTCGTGTCTCTCTGAGTCCTGACTCCATTGCTGCAGAAGTTTCCCTTACACATCCAATTAGATTATCCTGTACAATAAGTGCAATACACCTGAAAATGCCTGCTTGTATAATGATGTAAGAAGTCTTATATGTAACTGAGCATCTCATGAGCATTGTAAAGCTGGTTCTGCATATGTATCTGTTTATCTGTTAATAAAAACAATGACATCATACACTATAGCACCATGGAGAACAGCACACATGAGTACAGATGATATGTAAAATAAATAAAAGCTTTAATGCCATTCAATGTACAACATTGCTTTTTCCCCAATGACATATTCCTATGCGTTGCTACATTAGTCACTACTATGCGTCTGATCCTGAATTCATTCAAATGAATAATACATGTATGATATCCTCTTTGTGTGCATGTGTGTATACCATTACAAATATCTCATCCACCGAGTTTAAACAGCTCTGCATTCAGGCTTAATACACAGTCTATAATTCATGCACACAAATGGTCCCGATGTTACATTCATTTATCACCTTATCATCCATCTGTTTGTAAAGCTTGCGGATCTCCGCCTCATATTTCTGCCGCTCCTCCTCAGAGATGTGAACCACAATGGAAGAGGCAACAGAGCAGGGGCTGCAGGGGGTGCAGGGACTGCAGGGGGTGCATATGTCTGGAACGGGCTCCTCAGATTCAGGAGGAACCAGGGGGACGTCTTCAGGGCTCAGTTGCTCTAACTCGACAGCCTCACCTAAGAACAAGAGACGAAATATTGGATTTTTTTGTAAATGTGTTTCTCTGGTACGACCATGTATTAATGCATAAAATGGATAAGAAGGGATATCTTTAGCATGTTCTTTCCTTAGTCCTGAATACTTTAAAATCTCAGGTTATTTATATTTCTGTTCCATAAAGTAGCTGTTCTTTTCTACAGACTCAACGTGCAGTCAAAAACACCAGAACTTTATAACAGTATGTCAGTTGTTTCGTGCTTTGGCTAAGACAACAACAGTATCCTATGAAGAAGACGAGGGGAACCATTGAATGCGGAAATCTGTATTTCAATTGTGTACAAGCCCTTAATGTGTTTCATAACACACAGGAGTAATAGCTTGGACTGACAGACACTCTGGACTGTAATGTGTTGTGATTGTAATTCTCCTCCTCAGGCAGCATCAGGAGGTTTATGGTTAACCATTTCAGAAGCTTACTTCCACCACTTCTCTGTGCCTCCAGGATTTAACAACACTGCTTTGACCGATATATTGTAGCTGGAGTTAAGAGGATCAATCGGGAAATTGAGTGGTTAGGTCAAATGAATCCATAGTTAAAACAATCTCTTCTTGTCTAGTTGAAGGTGTGTTAAACAGATACAAAGATATCAGCCTGGTTCAATGCAACACAACCCTGAAATGGTTTCACACTAGATCTCCTCTGTGGAGGGAGAACATCGAGGAGAATTAATGTATGAGACAGTTGTTCCTGCCTTTGGGCCATCCTTGACTAAAAACAGGTAATGTAGGACATGTTGGAGGTCGAACACGTTTTACTCATGGAGGTCCTGGCCTGAGGTGGGCAACAATAAAGGGAGCATTTTTGGGGCAAACATAATGCCAAAATTATGATTAGGAAATTAAAAGCAATACATTGTGAGAGAGAGGGAGAGTGTGTGTGTGAGGGAAAGTAACTGATGAAGATGTAGCTATAAAAGGAATCATTTTCAATGATAGCTGTTCAATAAAGATGTGTACAGCATTAAAAAGAAAATCAGGTGAAGCATGGAGAGGATGATCTACAAGTAATACGTCGGACAGTATTCATTACAGAGTTGAATGTCAACCGATCACGACCCTTCAGTGCAGTGACATTTGAATTGACCTACAGCCTAGAAGGGGAGGAGGCCGAGGAGTGTGTGTGTAGAGGGTTGGATCAGTGCTTCATCAGAGTGTGTCCTGACACAGTGTGTGTGTGCCGACACAGAAAAGAAGCGCAAGTTAAGACTTTTCTGTAAATGTGATTAACCCTTGTCGCCTCGTGGATTACTAATACATGAGGATTCATAAAACATAAAGCCTGCAGCATGTCGTGCCTTCAGCACAGTGAGAGGGGAATTCAATTATACAAAGTGTAAAATTCTAAAAATAAAAGCCAGAAAGGGATTTCTAAGTGTTTTGGGCAGAAGCCCAGCTAGTCTTTTTGGCTGCTCTCCTCCAATATCAACACTGGCATCTTTAATGTGCACTTACATTGTCTGAAAAAGAATGTCTGCAGGGTGGTTACATTTCCATTCCTGCTAGTAAGTGCCTTTACTATTGTGAACTGCATCTGGTATACGGATTTTTTTTAAAGGTGACCAAGCTTATCTTTGTTAACAAACATTTAAAAGAAAAATAATAAGTGCTGGTTAATGATCATTTTTGCAAATCTGGTACCTTATTTCATTCATTTTATGACATTCATACAAGTAATTTAACAAGACTAAGTCACGCTATCAGCAACATGAGGTTTTACTTTTTCTATCTTTTTTGTAAGTATTTTAAATGTAAATGTAACATGTATTACATATGCCACAACCTTTAGCCACAATTCACTTTAGTTCACATATGTGTTTGAATTGTATCCTCATCTGCACCTTATCTACTCTATGCTCTTTTTGGTTGGATGCAAACTTGATTTCATTGTGCTATTATGTGTAATGACAATAAAGTTGAATCCAATCTCAGGCCCGGGTGACAGTATTTTATCTCACAAATATCCTGGCATTCATTCCTCTCACGCATGCCACCTCTTAAATTCCTGCTGCCAATGTTTGGTTCTCCAAACTGGATATCAGACGTTAGCCTCTCTGTTTGCTGCTGTCTCTTTTTAAATCAAGATTCCTAGGCACCTTTAGTATGTTCATGCTGCTGTTACCAGAGCCCCTTCACCTCCCCATCCCCACACAGAAATCAGTTGTATCATGTTATCAGCCTACCACCCTCAGCAGGATAATCAGCAACCACCTCCCCAGGGATCAGACACCTTGGGGTGGATTTACCTTGCTGCCACTATGGCCAGACACCCCTAGATTACAAATCCACCTGTAGAGTCGAAGCCTTTCTGTCAAGGCTTTACTATCACATTGAATTTGTTATAAAAAAGCGCTTAACCATAACCTCTCGTGAGTGAAATAAGTGATTCCAAACATCCTATGTGTAACAACAACTTTTATGGGAATCCATTAAATAGTGGTTGTGTTATTTCAACCCTGATAGGCTGACCAACCGCTACCCTGCTTCTGTGTCTAAAAATATAAACTTGTTATTAATATGACAGTAAGAAATGAATGCGCTGTTAATGGCCAACATGTCTGGGCAACACATTTCACAGTTCTTTGGTGGCAGAAGACTTAGATATGTCATGTGTTAGTGAGCTGCACGCGTGATTTCAGTGCCAGTATTACCGTTCTTCCAGCAGTTCAGCTCAGTCTCCAGTCTCTGAACAGTCTCCTTCAATAACCTGTTCTTCTCCTTTTCCTTTTCGTACTTCTTCTTCCACTGCTCTGCTGTGAGCTCAAGGTTCACAGATACAGTATTTCTGATGGTCTTGGCTCTAATTGGAGGGATGCAGGGAGAAACACCAGCAGAGAGTGAAGGAAGGTAACAGCGTGAGAGGAACAGGGTGTGATCACCACATATAGAAAAAGGGAGAAAGGAAAGTGTGAGAGAACAGAGAAACTGTCAACAAGCGAATTTCAGCCCTGGCTGCTCAATGAAAATGGGCTCGCATCTCATTAATTGGTATGCAAATTGGGTTTCAGCCAACAGTGTTTGATGGTGCATGTTAGGAGAGGGAGGCAGGAATCCAAACTATAAAAGCCCTTCAGACCTCTTAAAACAGATCAAAATATAGCAACATACATTTCATAAGAGGAGAGAGTACAGTATGTGACCATAAATTATTTCTCAATCGTGACGCATGAAGATGGCATCACAGAGTTAAACATTCATGATGCTACAGCCACAGCACTCGGCTGTGAAACTAACATCATTGGCTATCACTTCATTTCACACTTCAGTGAAAAAACACTGTGGTCCTCCATTCATTTATTCACTTCCATTAGCACAACAAACAGCCTTATCTCAAGTTGTGTCATTACATTTATTGGGTAGTGCAATGCTGATAATCAATCATCAGATGATCATAAAGTCAATGTTGATGGCTACACAAACCTGTATATTTGTGGACCTTTATCTCAAATAATACACTTGCTACGTTGATAACGGGAAAGTTTGAGAAATATTTGTCATATTTCATGACATTCAATATATTTAATATCATGTCATCATGTTTTTGGTGTCATATTGATTTTGAGAAAGAGATTAACCGTGGTGTTAAAAGCTACCGTGGCTGGCAGAGGGAGATATGAGACCAACTCTTCTGTTCAGTCAAATTCAAATATATGTCACTCCTTCTGCTCCATCATACATTATTCATTTCAACCAACACTCTTGTGGAGAATGGAGATGGATAAGGATGCTTTTTTCACAATCTTTCTATCTGATTTGCTTTGTGAGCAATAGGAGCGGACAAGCAAAACAAATCTCTGCTTCTGGGAAAACATCTTGCCCTTAAGTTTACTAAATAAATATCTTTAAGCATTCCCAGCACGATCAGAAACCACACATAAAGTCTGTCTCCAGAGCAGGGCGCAGTTCATCAAAAACAAAGTTGGAGGCAGAAGTATGTCAATAGCATATCAGATTTGAACACATTTCAGCTGAAAAACATCCCAACAGGCACAGCTGAGCGAGACAGAGATGCACAGTGCAGCAGCACAGCGCTACATAGCAGAAAGGTTGTTACCGTTGGCCGAACATCAGGGTGGATTTGGTCTCCACATCATTGTAGCTGGACGGAGAGCAACAGATGAACATGGTGGTGCGACAGTTCCCGCCCAATGAGTCCTGTAAGATGCGAGTCATTTTGCTGTCACGGTACGGCACGTGAGATTTCTACAAAGACACAACGAGGGGAAGAAAGAACAGACAGGTAGAAGAGGATTAAAAGCCTCTGGAGGACATCCTGAAATGCTGTTACATCTTGCAGGTGTTTTCTTCTCAAAAACAAAAAAAATGTGTGTGGTGAGCATCAGTGGAGAGCAAAGAAAGAAGACATTTCTCTCCATTTTCTGATTCATTCACAGTGTTCCCTTCCTTTGTATTGCCTTCAAAAAGACATTTATGTCTTCGTACATGAATAAAGAATGAATACTAGTAGATTTATGAAGTGTTTTTGAGGTGTTTACAGTCTATAAACCAATCCATCAGGATCATAGGGATACCTGAGCGTCCAGAGTTATATAATAATAGCCGGGGAATATTTTGTATTACTATGATGGACTGTAGAGTTGGCAGGAAAGAGTGTGTGAATTTTTGAGTTGAGTAAGGTGACATGTGGAAATAAGTTACAAGCAGTAGCAATGTTATTGATAATGGAAGACAAGAGTGTTATTATTATTATAAGATTATGCAGAACCACTATTACACATTTATTTGACCTCTATTGTCAATGTTTTTTTTATTTCTTGTTTTCTACATCTTCCCATGACAAAGATGGTAGTGTTACCATTATAAAAAAATATTGTTGTTATGACAAATATAATACAATAAAAGGAACAGTTTGATATTTTGGGACATTCGCTTTCTGCTGACGGTCGCATGAGAAGAAATTCTGAAAGCGGTATCATTTACTCTCCTAGGGACACTTGTCTTATTTACTGTGTGTAATTTGGCTGGGATCGACCTTGAACACATTTCTATTGTTCCAATCTAATTCCTTAAGGTAAGACTCAATTTAAGAAAAATTATGTTAAGGGATATACGAAACACAAACAATTAATTAGACAAGTCATAGGCAGCTACAATTCTTTAGCAGCCTGATAGAAAAGATAATAATATAAAAAGTGTCTCCACTGTACCGTTCCCTCGGCCAAGGCTGAGATGACGTTCCCCAGCGCCGACAGAGACCTGTTGATGTTCTTGGCCTCATCGAGCACTGCTCCCTCTGCACCTGTCTTACTGACCTGACACAGATACACACACAGGAGGAGTTAGGTAAGTAAGTACTTAATCAGCATACAAATGTCAATGGGAAAACCACGTTTATTTGTATGTAATGTTTTATTTCCAAAGTCTTGCATTCACTTTTAATTTCCTGGAATAAAAAACAGAATCCGCAAGTTTCCAGGAAATAACTTTGTCATTAGAAGTTATTGCAGGGAAAATCTGGTACTTGTTTAAGGGGAAATGCAATTAAGTACAAATTACAGGGACAAGCAGACAGTGATCAGCTGGTACACTACCAGTTAATCAATTATGATGAATTGCCAGCTGAACCAAAGGATGCCTTTAATCAATGCACAGCAGTTCAGCTGAGCATGCAAAGATGTGAAATGTTACGCAAGCATACACACCCAAGTAAACTTGAACAACTGTCTCAAAACTTTTATCCATGTTCCCGATATTAAGTCATTTAAATTACATTTTTCTTTTTGGGGAAAACAGAATGATGGAAATGAAAGACCTGTAAAAGGAAACATTCACCCATTGTATTGTACATTTGTTAAAATAGCATGAGAAGCTTTTAGAAGGTTTATGCCAAAAATACTGAAATAGGAAAGTCACGCCGTGTTATAATCGCCATGGGATACAATTATTTATGGCGAGATAATGAGCTTAATTATAGAAGAGAGCAAAGTATATGCTATGTTAGCCTTCTGTGAAGCATGCACCAGCTTCCTGTTCAGTCAATAATATTTTGTCTGAGTCTTAGAAGTTATTGGAGCTCAACCGTTTCCTCTTTCACCTCCAGGGACGACCAAAACAACTTACGGATGCAGCATCAGCACTTATTAACTCCAAACAGCTTCCGTCAGCATCAATCCAGATCTTCTCCTCTAAGTGCACCCAGTTCTTGCATCAATACTATCAACAGTAGACTACAGCTAGGTGTCAAGGGTCATGTTCTGCCCTGTCTTTAAATGGTTTTAGTCCGTTTTTAAGAGAATGTCATGGAGATAAATGGATTTATGGATGGTGCAGTGATTTCATCTAAAAGGCCTTGGAACAAGCACACACTTAGTTGTTCGTGGCTCCTCTCAATTTGACTTCTGTCTCGGCCGAAAAACCTCCTTTAAAGCTTTTCTGAACCAATAAAAGCAGAGTTTATCATTTCAAAGAAGGAAAAGGTTTGTGTCTCCATCAGCGAAACTGATTGCATTGCTTAAAATGAACACACACTAACCCTGATATTGCATCAGCAACAGACTAAACCCTAACAGGCAGATTCTTTTTAATGTAGACTTCAATAAAAACAAAGTGCAGTGCTATAAAGTGAGTGCTTTGAAATGCTTTAAAGTTCAGAGCTTTACTGCGTTGTTTATCTGATTCTTTGATGTCTGAAAAACACGTTTTGTGAGAAAAGGCATAAATCCTGCTGACGGTGAATGTTGAGAATTTTTTGCCGTGATAAGCCCTACTTTTAATGTTTCAGAAAAGAATCCCCATTTGTCCTACCTTCTCACTCCCAGCGAGGTCGACCAGGTACAGCTTCCCACACAGCTTCTGCTCTGTCTCCACGTTCTCTTGTTTGATGTTTATCAGGAAGATGCTGTGACTGCGGGAACTGTGCTCATTCATGTCTAAAGTGTAAAAAGGAAGGAGAGGCTTTAAATCACACTCTTTATATTGAACGTCATTCAATTCATCACTTCCCATCGACAGAGTTGTTAAGCTAGAAGTTCCTTTTGCACCTCATCATGCTTTTCTCACCTTTGCACCTTGAAGTTTTCATACTTTCACTGTGAAAAAATCTCACACAAAACGTCTGACAGAGTGAGTGTCAGGACATAAAGAAGATCAACAGTGTGACTCACTGGTGACAGCAACGTGACGGCTGGCCTTCCCTTCATCTATCACATCCATCACTTCCTCGGGACTCGTCACAAAGCGCTCCGTGCAGCCCTTAGTGAAGAGAAGACGTGCAAACATTTATATGTGCAATAAAAATAACCATACACTCATACAGCACATCTACCAACAAAAATACTGCATCTGCTGATTAAATCATTTTTAATTTGCACAATATATAAACACAGACACACGAACATGAAAATGGTTTGACATTAACTTCACTTCGAATCTATAACCTTGAAATGTATCGCACTGTTTTCTCATTTGGGGAAATGCGCACATTTGCTTTCTGGAGACTGAGGTAATTTTTAACAAATCCAACCTACCAGCATAATATATTTGTTTGTTTTACACACACAAAATAAAAAATGTGGAATTATGGAATTAAACACATGCAACCATGGAAACATCTTTAATAACTGTAATATATACTGGGCTGCTAAATCCTAAGAACTGCTACAGGATTTGATTTGTAGATTTGATTTGTTTTTGATCTGTATTTTTGAAAATTATTTAACTTTTTATCTTTTTTTTAGCATATTGTTTATTATATTATAACTTAGTACTTTTTTAGCATATTGTTTATTATATTATAACTTAGTACTTTTGAACGCATGTAAGATATTCAACACTAAGCTGTCTGTTGCTCTTTCCTGCTTCAACGCTGCAAATGTCCCCTCTGTGGGACTAATAAAGGTATTCCGATTCTGATAAAGGGACGAATTTGTACAAAGGGGCACACAGCAATGTAGTGCCGACTTTCTTACATGCTGGAAGGCCAATCGCTTTTCTTCCCCCCGAAATCCGCTCATTCTTGCTCTCGCGTGACATAACAAACTGTCAAACTGTCAAGCTGTCAAAACTCTGTACTCAAACCGGAAGTACTCGGCCTCACACCCAGCCGCCGGAAGTTGATAGATGCCATCTTGTGCACAGAGCCTATTGTGTACTTGTACGCTTAGGGTGTAATGGTATTATACAAAAATATTGTAGGAGTACAGAAACAGTGTTCAAATTCTTACAAACTTATTTTGGTTGTGCTAACCTTGCAGAGTAATGTTATAAGTGTCAAAGGAATGTTTTAATGTAAATATTAATGATAATATTGTAGCGTGTCCAAGTTAATAGTATATTGCTGCTTACAGATTTCCTGTGTTCCAGTTTAAAACCTTCTCCTCGCACTCAGGCTGTTTCTGTGCACTCGTGAAATGTCTACGGCCCCTACGCGGTGGGCGTGTCTTGAGCTTGGGGAGTTTATGCGAGCAACGCGATCACATGAATCTCTCCTGTCAATTGCATAAAAGGTTTTACATGTCACACTTTATATGATGAGCATTTATGACATGTCTATGTCATAAATGTCTATAATGCTATTTTACGCAACATTCCATGCTGGCTAAATACTGTCTATGCCTGCTAGCTGTCCATTCAAACGAAGTACACTGGATATAAACTCCCCAAACAAGCGAAAACCTACCAGTTTCCCTACCGCTATGATTATTTTCTCCTCTATTTTTTGGCATATGAGGAACTGAACTGCGGTCTGGCTCTCCCAGCATACACGCAGTTTGATTGGCTAGCGCTTGTACTGGCAGATTTGCATAAACGGGATTTCATTGGCTGACGCTTCTGCGGAGGCGCCAAAAGTTGAACATTGCTCAACTTTTGAAGCGAGCAACGCCAGCAACGCGTCGCTTCCCAAAATGCAGTTCGGCAAAAAGTGACGTCACCCCACACCAAAGTGAATGGGCAGAAGCGTTGAAGCGGCCAACGCACTCGCCGTGGTGACAGGGGCCGTCTGATCCCCCCCTGGTGCGCGCTCGATCTTTTTGTGCACAACCATCAGGCAACAAACCCTGTCAAAATCCCTCAAACCAATAGGAGGCCAGGTGGTCCTTGCGGGTGCCGTTCGCTTAGTATTAGAGCGTCCGTAAGCAGTGTTGGTGGTAACGCGTTACAACAAGTAATATTATTACTTTTTGTCTTGTAAACAAGTAAATGTATCGCATTACTGAATG